CCAGAGAGCATGCTCGAAAAGCTCTTGAAACTAATAGTCACAATTAACTACATCCAGATGCTTCAATTATTTGTTCAAGTAATACAACTTCATAATAATTTGCGCAGACGTTTAAGATTCTCCAAGCGACAAGTTTTTGAACAAAAAAAAAGAAAAAAGAAACAAAAAAAAACGGAAATTACGACGATAAAAATAAAAGAGGGAAGGGGAGGCGACCTTGACGAAGGCGCGAGATACACTAGGCTCGGTAACGAGCTAAATCTATTACATCGTGCAACTCGCGAACGAGAAAGAGAGAGAGAGAGAGAGAGAGAGAGAGAGAGAGAGAGAGAGAGAGAGAGAGAGAGGAGAGAGAGAGAGAGAGAGAGAGAGAGAGAGAGAGAGAGAGAGAGAGAGAGAGACTACTACACGTCAGTCCAACGCCCTTTCGCCGCGCGATAAAGCTTCCTCTTTGTTGTTCTCGCGTACGACATTCCCAAGCATTAAACGCATCGACAATGCAGCCGAGAGATTTGACTGCGTTTCATGCTTAGTCAACCGAAGCTCTAAGCATATTACTTGCACTTTACAATCTTCAACGTTCTATTTTTGAAATGTTCGAGGTGTTAACACCGATTGCACTGTTCACGGTGAGGACGAGCTCGGCAGCGAAAAAATTGTCGAAAACGGGCACAAGCTTATAAATATTATAAATAGCCTTGCGACGATTCAAGTGCCACCTACGCAATAAGAGAAAAAAAAACGGTAGAGTTGTTTATCGATGCGCATCTCGCCCACTCTTTACGTCTCGTCTTCGCGATTGTGTTCGCCGCGCTTTGGCGTATAATTTGTGCCGCATTGCCCTGCGAAGCGTCTTTTGCGTGCGTGCAACTGTGCGGCCAGCGACGGACGCTTCTCGACAAGGGATACGCGGCACTATCGGTTCGTAGCCGAGGATGCGCTCGGTGCCTGCGGCCCCGCGGCACTACTGTCCAATCGGCGACAGATCACAGGGGCAGCGCCGCGGTAGCCCACGTCCAAGCGATTGCTGCCTCTTCCTTCTCGCGCGCGCGCGCGCGCGGTGCAGGCGACGTCCTGACAGGCGAGTAGCTGTCCGTTCTTCCGTTGCGAAGGCACAACGAGCCTCGTCTTGTGTACGCTAGTTGCTATTTGTTAGCGCAACAACTCCACGTTGTATTTTTCTTCCGTTCTTTCTTTTACCTTTGGGCATTAGTCATTAACTTCATATTTTGATGCATCAAGTTGCATCTTCCTTGCAGGTTGAAAGCTAACTTCCTTTAATCACTGAGTTATTTGTTTGCACAAATCGCACACCCTAACCCACGTTGTAGCGAATTCCATTGACTTCATCCAAGGTAAACACAAAGTATAACGTTGATCGATGGCGCGTTGAAAAAAAAAATCCCGATTAAAGGTGAAGCAAGCCGGTAGTGTAATAAGAAGTAGTAGCTCGTTAAATACACTTTCCATTTTCGAGGGAAATTGCTGTTCACGCGTAGTTTCCTACGGCGACGTCGTGAAAAAGTGCTTCTCGAAAATTGTCGTGGAGAACGAGTTGCATACTGATTCAGCCACGCATCATTACGCAAGTCGTTGCGAGTCTCCTCTTCTTTCTTTATTTTTCGACAGGCCGGTTTTCTGGCGTGAAATTATTCATTTAGATAAGCCCCCTGCATCGTTTGCAGCGGCAACGAGACCAGAACAACGCGCCGTAACGCCTATCTAGCTCGCAAAAGAAGGACTAATTTTGGCGCGCCGATGCCACGCAATTGTCAATTAATGAATTTCGCCAGCGGCGACGATACATTTCATTAGCGCATAGATGTGCTATGCAGAACGGCGCAATTGATTGATAATCGTGCGCGGAGAGCTCATCTTCGTGGCATCCTTTTTTTCCTTCAGTTTTCTTCTTTTCTTCTTATTATTTGTTTGTTTTTGCGACTCGTGGGAACGCGACAAAGGAGACAGATAGCTATTAGCGCGCGTGCTTCGCTCTCGGTTTCTATGCTGCGCGCTGTCGTCGTTGTCGTCGTCGTTTGCCGCTTTACTTCCTTCGAGCTTTCTCGGCTCGTTTCCGCTGCGCGCGCGGCTTTTGCCCAAGTGTGTTTACCTGCGCTAATTAGACCGCCAGCGCTAAGAACTCGGCGCTGCTCGGATCCCAAATTAGCGGGGTGGCTTTTATTTTTAAATGCCACCTTCAGGCAGGCAGCTACATTGCTGCTTCTTTTTATTGCTTTTCCTTTCGCGCCCAGCTGCGTATCTCTTTCAACACTCTCGAATGACTGGACGACACTTTTTTTGCTTGCAAAGTATTGTCGGTCGAAAATAGGATAGATAATTGGAAATTTATGGCTGTTTCACGTCAACAAACATAAGAAATTCAATGCTCACGAATGCGTTGGTGAGAGCGCGCTGGAAATTTTGTAATTCAGTTAAAAGTCTTGCTCCAATACGCTCGAGCCTGAATAGAAGAGACGTAGGCCTCGTCGAGGCGTCGAGAAAATATGACTTTTGCTCATGAATAATGGTTTAATCGTCATCTTTCGCGACGAGTACACGAAGCGTTCACCGGGAAGAGGCGTATAATCAAAGTTCGTAAATTTCATTGCTCAAAAACGCACAGAGTAATAGAGTTTTTTCTTTACCGCGCGCGAATGCGAATCACCAGGTTGAATTATTTTAATAACAAAAACAAAGTAAGGCCCCGTAGCTGATTATCCCATCACGCAGCAGCTGTAACGAGTTATCTCGTTAAGGCGAACATCTGTAATTCGACGAAAAAAAGCAGATGAGAGGGAGGGAGAGAGAAAGGTGCAGCGTACTCGCGCATGGACTTGTCAGCGGCAGCACCCGGAAATTCTCATGGGTTCGCAAGGAATATTACATAACGAGGCGTGTAGCGCGGGAGCTTGGCAGTGCGCGCGTAAGGCCAAGGTCAAGCGGTATGCCTCGAAAATTCACGAGCACCTGTTCCTTCGCGCCCTTCCATTCTTCCCGCAGAGGGAAGAGAGCAATTTGCTCGACGAGCGAGTCGGAGTCGCGCAAAAGCGCAAGTAACCGCCGAACGCGGCGAAATTTCTTCGCCGTCTCCTCTTAAGGGCCTCATCGTAAAAACTTTTGCCCTCGTTGTCGTCCTCGAAATCGCACGAGCTCGTCGCGTTGAGTTCAGTGGCCGAGACTTTTTGCGCGTAATTGAACTCCTACATTTATTCGCGGATGCCTCCGCGACTTTCAGATTCGTTCACTTGCAAAGTTTTCTTTTCTTTTCATTTCTTTTTTCTAATAAATGCTAACGAACCAAAGTTACTCGTCTCGGAGTTAGAAGGCAGATGTGACAATGTTTCGAAATACGTTAATTTTGTCAAAACTGCATGATATCATGATGTCAGTCTTCCCGTGTAATGTTATAATGTGAAAAAGACATGGTACCTGCTTGATTCTTGTTAAATACCGCCACGGAAGCTTCCGTAGTCCGAGGTTTCCATAAAAATGCCGTTTAGCCGAAAAGGAATTAGGACTCTGAGCCGATGCTCGTCAATTATGAGCCCTAGAAAGTTCGTACTTTGAGATGGTGTCCGTGCATCTCTCTCGCTCCACAGCGACAAACAAAGCCGACAAAAGAGCCGCCTTGGCGTCACGTAAAAAATGCAAAGCTAACATAGTCGCTACGATCGTGTCCCCTCCATATATCCGTCCAACAGCCTCGTCTTTCGTCTCTCTATCCTCGCAAGTAAAGCAAAAAAAGAATAGAAGCGACGACGTAACAGCTCCCACATTCCGCATGCAGTTGGAGTCTTTCCTTCGCCCTCTCTTTCACTCACTCTCTCTCTCTCTCTCTCTCTCTCGCAGGCGGACTAATCGATCTCTTTCACCGAGAGATAACGGACTATACTACAGCCGGCCTTGACCATTTGACGCACTGATTCGGCCATTTATTCTTCCCAGATTCCTACGCACCTTTGTATCTTTATGCTTCTTGACTCGAGAGAGTTTCTTTTGCCGCGAAATCGAACTACCAGCAGGCTGCTACTTTACGATGGGAGTGGGCACTCCGAAGCTACGTGCATACGTTGCATTCGAGGGCTGTAAAGCAACGTCGAACGAGTGAATCTCTTGGGGTCGCTTGCCTGTGAATTCCACACGTCTATGCCGTTGAGAGTCCCTGTCTAACTGGATTTATTGCGTTTCGTTAAATGCAAACTAATAAACTTTAATTTTTAGTTCCTGCTCTTGCGATTTCATCAAGACTTGCATTTTCATTTCATTTCATTGCTTTTGAAAATAATCGTCTGATTCATGAACGAACTATTCTTAGTTCAAATAGTCAAGACATTTGGGCCTACCACAACCAGCAATAAGAATCACTGATAAATGTGCAAGACTCAGAAGGCATATAAAAAGTCTCTTTTGAGAAAGGGATAGTCAGCATGTTGGCTTGCAATAATTGCAAGACATTAAACTAATTCGACATGTAGACTCTGCGACAAGCAAGTAAATCATCGAGTCGGCGCTCGTTCGCGAATAAGGCAAATCCCGGTTAGGAGGCAACGGGGAGTCGTTTGCGCCGCGGCAACTTTGCCAATCTAAAGTCCCACGAGGACCGTAACTTAACGAGGCGAGAGCACTTAAGAGACAAAGAGAGCGACGCGCGCATGTGTGTGTCTGCGTGCGTTCTAATCTCGTGCGAACGTTCGAACCAACTTGCAATTTAGTGCTTTCATACTTGAGTGGCCGTTTGTAACCGACAGATAAGTCAAACTATTTTCAACGACTTTTTTCCAACGTTGCAGTAGCGATATCTTACACCGACTAAAGTAAAAAAGGCAAAGTTTAGGTACTTGAACCAGCTGTTGGATAATTAGAACAGAGATGAACTTTAACTCGTTTGGGGTTGAAGATAACTTTATATATAGTATGCTTAAGTCTTGACTATTCCTAACATAAATTTTTGCATTGGTTTGCATGCAAAATCATGCAATTAAAATAATTCAATGACTTACCCTATTCTGGTGATCAATTTGCCGTGTACGTGAAGATAAGAGGTGATGAAACGTTTGTTTAACTAAAAAAAATATGTATAGTGAGCTTACATTGCAAAACCGTTAAATCATTTGTGAAATGATTATATATATTCAGCTAAATTTTAAAAGTTTTTAAGAATATAGTTAAATACCTCAACGCTCGTAAGCATTGTAAGATCTTCCAGATCACTATTATCCATTCTAGAGTCCGTAGAAGTTGTGGCTGATGTGGTACGTCTCATTCTCTTTCCATCAGGGTGAATCCAAATTTCCCGTCGGAGCGAACCGCCAATAAGATTAGCACCTTCTTTTTCCTTCATTCTTGCTCTTTCTTTTAATTCTCTTTCCTCCTTTCTTTTACGCTCCGTAGATTCGTACTGTGAAAAAATAAATATTTGTTAGAAAATCTATACAATCGCTATTTATATAAGCTACATATTACGTGCACACAGTACATGATAGCATTTTCAATGCACGCTTTCACTGAATTTTCACTAAAAATTATTTAAAGTCATTACTAAATTTGTTTGGAAATAACCGAAAACGTTATTTTTTAAGACACATAAGTTTTATGATAAACATAAAATATGTAACACAAAATATCATCTATTGCAATCGTTTGAGCATGAAAATTATTTTAAAAATACCTTTAACGGCGTTATCAAGTGTTCTAACTTTTCGATATCAAAATATATAAAAGCTTTTTTAGTACAGAGCCAACTTTCGAAAAGCTGAAAACTAATAAAATGTTTCAAACGATTGCTGCAACCTAAGACGTCAATTCGAAACATTTATTCTACCTTAATTATATTCTATAATATTTTATACGTAAGCAGATCATCAAACATATCGTGAATTAATCTATTTGAATACACATGGTAATACACGTGAATATTTTTAATAAAAATAATTGGACTGTATGCAAAAGATATTAGCTGTTTGAATAAGTTTCTAAGAAGCCATTCCATCAATAATGAACTGACCAGTGATCCATTAAAAGCTAAAAGAAATTATAAATATCTGCCAAAGTTTTGAGTAATTGGGAGATGTGATTGCCACATAAATGTGTGAAAATTGTATTGCGGTGCATAAATAGAAAAAAATATTAATTTACAAAAAAATATCAAAGCAAGAAATGAAATAATTTGATAGTTGAAAATTATGTCAAATCGGAAAAAGCCTACTAAAACAGACTCTATGGCCATGAAATGATTGGTGAAGAATTCACATCAAGTACTGAACGTTACTTACATAATGTAGATACTGTCCGCGACAGAAAACCATAATATTATTTTAGATATTATTATCAAACAAAGGTCAAATAAATATGTTTAGTATTTATAGAACCATCAATTACCTTTTTCCTATTTTCATCAAACATGGTAATCAAACTTTCGCGAGCTGACGGGAACGGATTTGAAGCCATCAGAGATCGCATGTAGTAATAAACTGCGTCCAATTTTCTCCTCTGTAAAGATTAAATTTATCAATAAAAGTGATGTTTAAGATTCAAATGTTATTTTTATACTTACAGCATAAGTTGCCAATAATGCTAATTTACTGTAAGGTCTTCCATTTTTCGGATTAATTTGTTGTGCTTTCAGGTACCATCTATAAAACCAAATTATAATTAAAAAAAACTATTTCTTAAGTAATTCATCTCTTGAGTATCAAAACTTACTGTCTTGATTTGCCGTTATTTGCCGATTCAGTAGCCAACTCTTTGTACCTTGCTAAATCACCCAGAAATAGAAACAATTTTTGAGCACTGATTAATGCCAAACCAATCATACCAAGGCCTTTCGGTGGCTTTGTAGATGTTAAATAAGTGTCGTGTTTGAATTGATAAGTAGTTTCAAGAACCGTGAGTAAACTAGTAAAATACGTTGTTCCTTCATCAACTAATTTTAATAAAAGTTTTTTATGCTGCTCCCGACGTTCAGTATCTTCTTTAGCCAGTGGTTTTCTTAGTATTTCTATTATGTTATAAAATACAATTTTCCAAAAATGCTGCTCTATATTTTCAGATTCGCAAAACTTAAGATCAGTAACCAACAAAGTTTTCAAACTTTCTTGATGAAAATTCCTTATATGACATATTTGATCCCAACTCGAGGTAATGTCAGTAGAGCTGAGAATGTACTGTAGTTCCGAATCTGCTCGTCCAATATCCAAAAGCAAATAAGGATTTTTTGATGATCGAAAACTAGAAAAAAGAACAATGATCACCACATATCAAAAATTGAAGTACTCGTATGTTACATTTAAAAATTATTTGGCAGACCTTTCAGAACATGGATCATACCAAACTGGCCTCATACTCCCAAATTGATCTGAGATGTGTGACATTGACATATTATCAACTAGAGTGCTTTGAAAACCATGATGAATAATAGGTTGCATGTTCGTGTGAGGATGATATACGGGAGTACTGGCAGGTTGAACGGGTAAATCATTATCTCTGCCAAAGAATTTGCTCTTAGTATCCGTCACGACAAAATTAAATTTCCAAAACTAAAATTAAAGATTATTTAATTCGCTTACCTTTGTTGACCGCTAGCTCTACTTCCAGGAGAATTAACTATTATAGGTTTATTTGGATTATTTGGATCAAACAGTATTCTTTTCTGTTGTTGTGAGAGTTGTTGTCTAGGGGGTGGAGCATTTGAAGACAGGTGTGTTTGATCAGGTAAAACTAAGACACCAGGTTGTTGAGAATTTGTATGAGTTGAAGGGGAGTGACGATGTGTTGAACTTGGACCAGAGCTTGTAACTGGTGTGGAATGCGATAAAGGAGTTCGTCGGCCGTCGTCTGATTCACAGATTGACGTTCTTCCAGCTCTCCAATTTTCTTCGATATTTTGAGATGTCGTTCTATGATAAAAAACGATGATTTATTATAGAATAAATTAAAATGAAAATCAATTGAGCATAACATACCTATTCCTATAAAAGTCATCTGCACCGCGACCACCACGGAAATTCCTATCTTTGCTACACTGTCTATCTCTACTACGATGTGAATTTCTTCTCCTACCCTCGAACCTTTTATTACTGCTACTACTAGAACTATTTTTTTGGTTATTGTTATAATTATCATTCTCTCTATTTTGCTGATTGTTTTGACGCTCTCGACTACTTTCTTCTATTTTATCTTTACTTCTAAAAACCAAAGTAAAAGCATCAACTTGGCAAATAACATCATAATTATGATTTCAATGGTCTATGTTGAAATAATGATACTTACTTATCTCTACCTCGTCTTGATTTCTTTTTTTTAGAACTCCTGCTTTTCCCGCTTCTTCCTCCAGTTGGCGGCTGAATTGCGGGTGCATTCGCATTGTCACGTAAACTCATTATAGAAGAGCTACGACTCATTTGTTCTGCTTCCAATCTTTCACTTAATTCTACTTCTTCATACCAATCCTGTAACAAATATTGCATTGTTGAATAAGCTTAGAATTTAACGATGTCTATAAATTTATCAATAAAAAAAATTTTATTACCAATACTTCAGACTTATCATCAGGCACAGGACTACAAGGTTCACTTTTTGTAGGACTAACATTTGATTTTTGTTGAGATTTTGGTTTTTCTTGCATAGAATTAGTTTCACTTATATTATTATTTATTTTATGTCTGAAATTCAATATTAACATGGTTAAAGAAATCTCAATAATATCTTTCTAAATATTGCAAAACCTCTTACGTTTGATGGGAAGGTCGGTGTGAGTTTAATGAAGGAATTGATTCACGTCTACGACTATTTACAGGTGATTGACATCTAGTTACTTGAGATCGATAAGAACCTGGAGAAGATGCTGGTGGAGGCATCAACAAACTATCTACACGGCTTAAGCTCTCCATACTCGTACACATAGTGCTATTGCTTCCACGACGATCATGAGATCTTAAACGATTTGAATAATTAATACAATTTTATTAATCTATGTCTTTTGTGAGTAACGAAAATATACCTGTTCGCGTACTCTTGGCTTGGCGTATGTGATCTTGAACTTGGCGCTGTATATTCATCAGGAGTAACAGGCCTAAAAACTGGAGGTGACTGTGATTCTTCTGGTCTAGGTCTACCTCTGCCTCGGCTTCGAGCTGGCACAGTATTTGACCAATTTGATTGCGGGGGTGCAGAACCACTCGGCGGTAAATTTTGCATGGTTTGCGAATGTGGCATAACGGGATAGCGAGGTGTTGAGCCCTGTAAATCAATTTACCGACATTTAAATATTTAAATCCGATTTTTATATTTATATTTAAAAAATTATTATATTTTTTACTCTTACATGACTTACTTGAAATGTCAGTGAATTTCCATCCCAAGCGCCTTCTGATGTGCCAATAGAACTATTTTGTTGGGTTATACCATGTTCTTGATGATATTTGGCACGTAAACGTGGTGGTAAATTTTCAGGATTTAATCTTTTAGGCATGGTAATTTCTTTACCCCCACGTTTTCCGGACGGCGGCTTTCCTTGAAATTTATCTGAATATCCAAGAGGTTCAACACTACGTGTATCTCTTATCCGATCAGTATCATTTAAATTTTTTGCTGTTATAAAAAGCGGTTCTGATCCCTTTTAAGAAAAAATTATTAAAATAAAATAGCTTGTATTACAAACATTTTTAAAAAGAAGCGGAAGTGTTTTGTTTGAATACATACTTGTCTAATTTCTCGAGGATTATCTCTATTACGATTACCAAAATTTCTAGTTGATGCAGGGGACTCTGTTCTCCTGCGATCTTCATTATCGGATACATTTCTATTTCTACGATTTCCACGTTTTGAATGCTCATCTTTAACTCTACCATCATTTTGATTTCCAAAATTACTAGGCATATTTCTACTAGGATGAGTATCATTTCTATTACGATTTGATTGAACATCCCAATCTCTGTCTGCTCTACTGCTGGATCTTTCTCTGTCCCAATGGTTTTCTAAAGATGGTCTAAATAAGAAAATTAATATCAATTGAAACATTTAAAAATTTTAAATAAACAACTTTATAAAAGTAAATAAATGTACTAATCTGATGTAGTTAATCTATGAAATAGTTTCTCTTTTAATTTCAGCTAACATTCCTGACAGTCAATGCTTCAAATATAAGTTAAAAGTTGCTTACTTGTTTATTGTTTCATGTTCAGCCATGGCTTCCTTTACTTTCTTGGGTACATATAACGGTTGTTCTGGTTTTTTATTTTTTTTTCTAGGATCATTTATACTAGAATGATGGTTTTTAGAAGTACTTTGACCATTATTACCATCAACATGATTTTTAGTGTTAATATGTGTATCATTTAATCTATCACTTAAACTATCAACTTGTAATCTAGAACTGATTTTGGATTGGCTAGGATTACTGAAGTGTGATTGCTTTAAACGATCTTGCACTGAAGGCATTTTAGGCCTTTCTTGTGAATTATTTTCATGATCAAAGTCATCAGATCTTCCAGACTTTCGCAAAGGTCCACTACCTGGTCTGTAAAGTGCTCGAGGTGGTGCTTTATTACCTCCTCCTCGCATTGCTGCTAATCTTTCTTTTTCAAATTTCAAATTGATTGAGTTTTCTGTAAATTAAAGTCATTCCTGTACATCATCTCAAGTTATGGAATAAAAATCACTTATTAAACTAATTGTTTGGACTTTTATAAAATGGAAAGAAACAAAGTTATTAATGCACTATGATGCAATTTAGTTATTTTATTGTGTATATTCATGATTCGAGGTAATTTTGTTACATTTATTATACGCCTTAGTCGTGGGTAAGATCGCTATTCGAAGAAATGATAAGATCCGGATACTGTTGTGATTTTTTTTTCAACAAAAACATTGCGATCTAGCGACGTTATGGTTGACAATGCATTTGCAAGAAAACAAAGAGAATAAGAGTTATGTAATATAAAAAGCGGACGAATAAAAAACAATTAATTTGCGACGAGATTATCAGTAAATAATTTGAAAAGCTATTTTTAGTTGCGCAAAAAACGCTTTTCGGAAAACATACTCACGGTCTTCCCGCGGTTCGCCGTCTTTTGGCTTTACAGGTTAGCTTCGTTCTAGCATATAAGGTTAGTTTTCACGACTCGCGACAGCAAAATAAGCTTTTTAGGGATGAATAGGCATTGCAACACAATCTCACGGAATCGATGACGCTATTTATTGAATTAATTCCCGTGGATTTATTGAATTATTTACAAGGAGACTTCTTTCGTTGTACCTTGTGAAATCTCTCCCCACTTTCTGCGTCCTTTGTCGTGGTTCGCCATATTGAAGTACAATTCCCGTCAAAACTTTCAGGAAGGTCAAGATACTTTCATGATTCACGGCACGGCGCCTGTTTCGCGATTTTGCCGCATCTCCATTTGTTGCGCTATGCAATTAATTATACTTATACATTTAATATTGAAACACAATATAATGCTACTTACTTTTAAATTTATTCTATCATTTCAGAGGATAATATGATAAACTGATGAAATTATTCACAATTTGTCAATAGCCCCCTTTATAAAGTGAGAAATCTAATTTTACCAGTAATCTGGAATATTATACAAAAATGTATACCCATAATTATTCTAATAACTTTATTCTTTTAATATAAAAAATGAGTATGAGTGGATTTTTCTAAAACAATTGTAGAATTACATTTCCATAAAATATCTGCTTCTATAATTTAGTATGCTATGAAATTACAGTAAAATAATTGTCATTCTTTTTGAAAAATAATTTCCTTCGGTATAGCAGTACACTCAATTTCCATAAAAATATTGAAATAAAAATGATTGTTAGATTTGTTCCTATTATAATTTTTCTATAACAAACCTCCTTTGAAAATATTTTCAACATAAAAAATTCTAAATCATTTTCAATATATGTATATGTATATATACAGACATATAGATAGTATTATATATTAATCTAACACAGCTAATTGGAAATTCATTTGGAATAAAATTTTAGATATTATTTCAGATAAACTGAATAGACTTTTCTAAACATTGGAAATAGATCATAAACATTGCAACATTATATGTGTTTGATGATTTTTAATTACTCAGAATAGAAAAACAAAATTTTTTAGACAATTTTTTTATTTTTCATGTCATAAATTAGTAATTTTTTGCTAAGATTCCATCTTTTTTTGCAAGGCGAACTATGCAGTCATCTGATTCACCCTGTAATAAAAATATATATGTACATAAACAACAACAGCAATATAAACAACAGCAAGTAGTAATTCTTAATTTTGTCATATTTATGAATTATTAATAGCTGCACCAAATTCTTAGTTTGTAAAATATAAGATGTACCATAATGTTATGATCAATGAAAGCTGGACTGATATTCAATTTTTTCAATATTCTGATTTTAATATTGATTATATAAAATAAAAGTTTTTAATTGACCAATTAAAAATAAATATATCATAAGTATTTTTTTACAAATCTATACTATTAAATAATATCTAATTACAAAAATTTAACTGCTGATTCTTGCAAATGAATACTATTAACTGAGTTAAAGTTCTACTAAAAAAAAGAATTCAATGATGGCTATTAATAACAGACTTTTTAAGGTATAAAATAGAACTTTTATACTATTAAGACCTACCATGCGACGGATAGCTCCACAGATAGCATACATTTTGTTTGTGTCGGTCATACGTCCTGTTACTGGATCAACATCAGCCAATGCAATCTGGATAGAAGCATGATCTTTAGCATGAATGATGCGATTGCTTGCTGAGCTGAAATTATTAATAAACCATATTTTTTGTTAAATAATAAAAAGTATATTAACTAAAATGTCCTTTCAAGAGTATAACCTAAAGTATTATTTCCTAACAATATAAAAATTATCTCTTAAATTTTAAACACATTATGCATTGTAATTAAATATTTCATAATTTTTATTGAATCAATCATAATTTTTAATTGTTTATCTTACTTCGAAAATGAGAAAACCACGTGCATAACCACTCACCATTTCCTGGGGCAGTACAAGTCAACGAATTCTCCAGCGTCGTTTTCCATAGTGCAAGCTGTAAAAAAGATTTTTTAGATTTTGCTTAAAATTATAAAATAAATTGACTCAAAGATATACTGAATAATAAAAACAACAAAAACAAATCACAAAAGTTGAGTACCTATATTCGTATTACGATGCAAGACAAGAAGAAAAAGAAGAGTCAAGTCGCAAGAAAGAGTAGGAATGAAAATCAAAACCAAAATGTCGACCTCTCGAACGTTTGTATAACACTACGTTTCCGCGCTTTTTCAAAAAATTTATCACTTAGAAAATGATTTTGAAGTTGATTAAAAAATATGAATAAATCTCAACTCTTTATCTTATTTTATCTGGATTGTTACGTGTTTTTCTCATTAAACATTTCAATATTCAAATGCAATATGAAATGTTTTACTTTCTTTATAGAATTTCGAGATAAAAGTTCAAAACCCTAGAATTTACACAGAAGTCGTTGGCAAACCTTCTCTCTGAAATGCGCGTATCTCATCAAAGAAGGCGAACTATTTTCTGCTCACAGAAGCAAAAATGGCTGCAATTGCGTTACTTCGCCGTGCAATTACACAAAAAATTTTAAATGCCGCTAGAAATTATTCCAGCAATCCACTTCAACACATTGACCCAGTGCAAGCTCGTAAGTCTATAACAAATACTACTACAAAAATAAGAATTATTATTTTTAAATTCATTTGTTATAATGTTTTATTACATTATTTTGACTAAAATCGTAGTATTATATAATAAATTTGAATGTATTCATTTTTATAGATATATGTACATCTAAATATAAATATATAAAATAAGATAAATTACTTTGCATTGTAAGTAATTGAATTAAAGCCATATGTTTTACATTCAATCGTACTCCATGTTTACAGTATCTACTGCTAATACTATGGTAATATCTACTATTGATTATCAACAATAGTAACTCAACTGTTAAAATTTTATTTTATGTGAAAAAAGAATGATTTTCAACAAAACAATTAAATATATTCTTTAATGATTCTTTAATTTATAAATATAGGTCAAAACTTGTATTAAGTAAAGCATTTGTCATTTTAATCAACAAAAAAGTTAAATTTATATATCTTTTAGAAAAAGCTTTCAAAATGTGGAAAACTCTGTCTCTAACTGTTGTTCCTGTGGCATTGACTCTTGGATTTTTGAATGTTTATCTGAATGAACATGAAGAAGAACCACCAGAATTTATCCCTTATGAGCACTTAAGGATTCGTACCAAGGTAAAGTACAATACAATGTATTAAAAGAAATGTTTCTATTAAAATGGAATCTAATTATTATTAATTTTATTTCAGAGTTTTCCATGGGGTGATGGACAGCACAGTTTCTTCCACAACTCACGTGTAAATCCATTACCCACAGGATATGAGAATTAAGATACCTTAGCTAAAATACTAAACTAATAATCGTTATAAATTGAAAGCATTACTTTTACTTAAGTAGCAAAGAAATAAATCTGTAAAAAGTTTTCATTTTATTTCACTGAAGTATTCCTTTACAAGTAGATTAAAACTAAATAGTGTAACTTAAATTAGGAGAAGAAAATAAATAAGATTTCAAGTCAATTAAAAAAATTTATTCTAATACAAACTTTGAAACAAAACTTATAGTTTTCTCTATCATGACTAGTTTTTAATTTAAAAGGCATATTCAAAACATAATTTTTTATTATAATCTTTTTGTTTTAAATATTTAAGTAAATATAAAAGGTTTAAATACTAATTTTTATTTAAATAAGGTAACAAATACTGTAACATGAGTATCAAAAATAAATAAAACATGTCGAGATCCCTCTGTTACAGTACTCATACAATAGTTTAACATTTACATTTAAGTAAAACATAAATTAAGAAACGCTATGCTCAGATTACCAACTCTTACTATATTCTTTCTTCTACTGCATATCCTAACAGTTTTCTGAATAATACGTTGCAATAAACATTTCTTACATAATTGTTCATTTTTCTCAGATTCACTATTTTGTTAATATCATATTTTTTTGAAAATGTTTCGATATGGATGAACGTTTGTATGGATGGATCTTGATTTTCATTTCCTTGCTGCTTCAGGTAAACTCTCGTTTGGAACAGACTGAACATGTTGAATATTGGTTGAATTCTGAAAACTATTATCAAATAATTATTACATGCAATATGAAAATGTTGTAATAGTGACCACACAGTTGCATACAGTTCAGTTTAAAATTATTTGAAAGCTTAATTTTCACTCTCAATAGTAAAATAATGCATGATGTAATATTTGTTAGAATTCTTTGTTTTGGTAACAAAATGTTATTTATTAATTTATTTTACTTTTTTCCGTACCTATTATTAACAATGTCAATTACAGGAATGCTGTCTGTTATAACATTTTGCTGTAAAATTGTAGGTGAACTTCTTTGAATATGATTTTGATTCTTAGATTGAATATTTGATTGTTCAACTCTATTGTTTTCAATAAAATACTGATTTATTTTTAAGATTTCTTTATAAATTTTTAATTGATATTCAAGTACATCTTTCTGTGAACAACTCATTCCAATGTCAGTCTGTTTTAACTGTGCTCCTAGCTCCAATGTCAGAGGCTGCTGGTTTTCAGAGTGAGATTTGAATATTCCATTTATTTTTAAGATTTGGAAAAGTCTGAACATTTTTTCTAATAAATTTCTATCATGAACTTGTGTGTAAATTGAACCCATAATTGCTTTTATAATATTACTATAATTTATATTCTTAGTCAGTTTCTTAAACGATTCAATACATTGGGCTAAAATCAGTATTTTTTCCTGTATATTCCATGTTTCTTCAGTTAATGTTTGCCTGTAACATAGCACTTCAATGTGTTTCCGGATTATATTGATATTTATGTTCTCCAGTATTGCTAACGTTTCTATTATTTTTTTCAGTAATTTCAACTTATAAAGTTGTATTTTCTTACTAATAGTTGGTATTTTATCAGAAGAAAGTATTGTATATGGAGGTGGCAAAACGATATTCATTATTGGTGGCAGTTTTAGATTAAAAACTGTTTTATTGCAAAATGAAGGAGTAGCATGTGCATCAAACATTCCTGGGAATATAGAAGATGCCAATACAACTTGTTTATCTGTTGTAGTCTCCAGTGTAGAAGCCATACAACACATATTTACTGACGCCTGAAGTGATTTGGCTGGCATAGATTGATTCATACACATAACTGACAGTGATGGTGGAGGAATACATGCATTTAAAAGATTGTTTGGAGGAGACACATTTACAAGTAAACTTGATTGTCCTTGGAATGTCTTTACACTATAGTCTTTATTCTGCTGAATGTCTTCTGGTACTTTTGATGGAGAATTTTCAGATAAAACGTTTGAATTCAAAGTCGTTCTTTCTGGACATAGATTTGATTCTTTCTGCAACATTTCGTTTAAGTTCTTGACTTTGATGACTCCATGAGAACTTTTGTCCGATGTTTTATCAGCTATAACGTCCACTTCATCATCAAAATTAATATTCAAAGCTTTTAACAAGTCGTAATTATTTTCAGAATTTGGTCCAGTCAGTAGTGAAACTTTAACTAATGAAGACGCTGATGGCACTTCAACATTTAAACAATTTTGTTCATTTGTAACTTTTAAATCATCACGTTTTTTTCCGAAATCGACTTTCAACATGTTTTCTAAAGTAGAACATAAAGTTTCCTCTTCATCATTATTTTCAAATGCTATAGAATTTTCTGCCTTTCTATCTTCTGGAGCTATAATTTCTCTGGTTAAATTAAACTTTTCCAAAATTTCTGGATTATTAAAATCGGTATCGACATTCGTACTAGACGGAATAGTCGATTTAACATTCAATGTAGAGTTTACTGGTTTATTTATGTTTAAAACTTGGTCATTGTGCTCATTACTTACAAAAATATTCCTCGCAGGAGTTGTAGAAGAATTGTTTAATGTGGATGAAAGTAACGATTTTATATCTATAACAGGAATTTCTTTGTCTGATTTATCTAAAGAATTCATTATTGTAGCACTTAGTACAGTTTGTAAATGTTCCGATACATTACTTGAATCATTTTCATGTGAACTTGGCATTGACAATGAAACTGGTGAAACTTCTGAAACTGTTGATTGATTTTCTAAAGTGATATCCATGTTGGGAACATTAGATGTTTCACTGACTTGCACATTGAAATCATTATTAATATTTGATATATTTAGTTCATCATCTTTTAAACAATTGGACTCATTACTGATATTCTCACGATCAATAATATCATCACCCTCTTTATCGATATCGATAAAGTTCTTCAAGTTTGATTGCATAGCATCATCATTTATAATTTTCGAAAATGGCTTCTGTGGTTTTTGGTAATGTTTTATTTCAGACACACTCAATATACATTCAGAATCTAATTTTAAAGATTGGTTAGCCTTTTCCAATGAACTTGATATACAGTTGCTATCAACAGTGTCCACAATAACTTGATTTTCATATTTTTCATCATCAAAACTGGAATTATACTCATTGTTGTTATATTTTAAATGAGTATTTATTCCGTGGATTGATGTATGAAAATCAAGATCTCCTTCTTCCAATTCATTTTGCAAGTCTCTAACATCTATATCTCTTTTATTTTGAAGAGATAATGAACTTGAAGTGTTAATGTCGCTTATTTTTTGAGTTTTAAAAGAATCTAAACCACTTTCTTTGTGTTTTATGTAATCTACTATTTGGTCCTCTGTAAAAAGAATTTATTTTCTATAAAAGTTAATATATTTTACAACAACTCATCACCAAGGCAGACATCAATTTCTTACCTTTTAATGAAGAATGTTCTGAATTTGCAAAACTAATTGAAACATTGATAAAATTTTCATCTTTTTCATCATGAAAAGTGGGTTTTGATATAATCTCGTTAACAATATAGCAATATGAATCTCTTGTATCATTAAAAATTACTGAAAATTGATTTTCTTTGACCAAATTAGATTCAGATTCTAATACATTGTTAGACTCAACATATTTTTCATTATTAATTAATGCTTGACTATTTTGTACATCTGAATAGTCATTATGTTGATGATGTTTAATATTTTCTAAGGAATTACTTTGAAAATCTAATTTATTTGAAGATTTACTAGTAGTTATTTTACCTTGATTTTTTGAAGAAGTTATTTCCTGTGTCAAATTTTTTTTCTTATTCAATGAAATTTTAATGTTCTTATTTTTTTTATGAGTAGCATCGGTTTGCATATCTCTTTCATCAAAAATCAGCTGCTGTTGCTGATCTTCACTGTTACTCAATTCGGTTGAATTTAGTGGTAAAAGTTGTAAATTCTTGATACAGCTTTTATTTACAGCAACACTTCTTGACTGCTCTTCTTCCAATGACTGCAATGTTGTTAATTCTAAATTATCTATTTGACCATCTTGTTGCAAATGTCTTATTTCATCCGTTTGATATTTATTGCAGTCGTAGTTCATGGCAGTTATTTTTTCTACTTTATTGCTAGTGTTTTTCTGGGATAAACTTTCCAGTTTTTTATTTAGTCTATCTACTTTCTTTGTGTAAAGATTGTTCAAATCAGAATTTACCTGCATTTCTGAATCTTCATTCAAGTTTATTTGATCATTCCAAATTTCAGTGCATGTTTCATCAGAACTGTTTGAATCTTTTTGGAGAATGCAATAATTGTGATCAATTTCAATGTTTGAATCTTGAGATGGTGAAGTGTTTAATAGGTTGGACACTTTATCTACCATAAATAAACAAAAGTCTGAATAACATTCAGATGAGTTTTCATTTGACCAATTTTTATTAACATTTTCCAAGCGTGATACATACTTTTCATTCAATTTTGTATATTTTTCATTTAAATTGTATGTATTTAAAAGGCAATCTTGACGCAAAATTTGCAAGATAGATGAATTTTGTTTTTCAGATTTGTTGCAAGTAATGTCATTGTTATTATTGTTCAAATAACACATATTTTCACTTTGTGGTCCTAAAAATTCGGTACAACTATTTGTTGGTAGCTCTGTTGCATTTAAAGATTCTTTAATCTTATCATTGAATAATAATCTATCATTATAATTGGTTATATTATCCATAGTTTGTTCATTTTCTATGGTAAAGTTTGTTAGCTTTCTTCTTTTATTTAGGTTGCTTATATAGTCATTATATTCTGAAACAATTGTACTATCTACAGTTATATTTCTTTTCTTTACTCTTTTTTGTAAGTTTATACTCAACTTTCTCACATCAAATTGTATTTTTTGAGGTAGAGGCCTATTAACTAAATCATCTAGATCTAATTCTGGAACTTGTTTTTTGATATAAGTCCTTTTAGGCAAAACTTTATTACCAGAATCACAAACTTTGTTTTTTGATGATTCCACAAATTTTTGTTTATCATGTACAGGTTCTATAAAATGAACATTCTTTTCCTTGTGATGCCAATGATCATATCTGAAAAATTAAACGGAAATTTAAAAAATAAAATAAAAATACAAATAAAATACTTAAGCATTTAATATTTCTTTTAAATCTTTAAGATAAAAATATTATACATAAATAATTGAATAGCACATTTGGATACATTAATATAATTATGTGTAAATCATGTATTGCAACGACCCTATAATTATTTTACTTTGCTGAAAAATAAATTATATCCTAATATATTGAAAAAATTGACATCTTTAGCAATTTTAAATAATTAATTTGAAATAACTAATAAATATCCTATTAAATAAATTTTTATTTACAAAAATATTTTGCCTTGATTTTCTATTTTGAGGGCGTGAAATATTTACATTGTAGCAAAATAGCTTATAATAGCGTCACAGGTACCTATTTCGCCAGAAGTTGATGTTCTTTTGGATGCACTCGATTCGAAGAAATTCGATAATCGAGAGCTCTTGAAAATTTGTTACGAAAAAATTTAGGCAGTTGTGGATGGTAGTGTAATTCTTGAGATAATTGTAAAAAAAAACAAGCGCAGAAAAATTGCTAAACAGGATCGGTTGATGATGATTCCTCGTGCTCGACTTAGTAATGACGCACGACGATGTACGGGCCAGCTGGAGAACTTTTCCGTCAGGTTTCGATTTCTTCCTTACTTTTTTTTTTCTGTTCCTTGAAAATGTTTCGAATACCGGTGATGGTACTCGCTCAACGACCGCTTTGCAATTGTCACTTTGGCTTTCATCGTTCACAACATCATTATTTTCTTTCCGCCGCTTATCCACTTTGCACGTATAAGGCTCATTCATATAGTTATAAAATCGTTCGTTGTACCCCCTCTTTCGCTTCTGTGTGGTATTTATCGCCACAGGAATATTTGCGCGATGCGCCGTCTCTTCGGTCTCTGGTTGCACTTTGCTAATTTCGCAATGTGCAACGTCGTCGGCTTTGTCGCAAACCCATATTTCATGCGCGTCAATTAGCGTTTCGAGTTGCATTGTCGTTGGTGTTTTGTTACTGCTGACACTCGACCGATCAGTCTTATGAGCCATACATAAATTTGTTGGCTCTGTATTGCCGAACCCGACACTTTCCTCAGCTTGTTTCAGATCGGTAACTTGCGCACCCGATGATGAATCTCCCATTGACAGTTGCATGGCAACGAACATGATATCCGATTCCTCGTCGTCGGAATCATCGATTATTACCTCGTCCAGCACCTGCTGCGTTAAATTCTTATCGAATGGAATGTGCGATTTTTGTGCTGATTCCTTATTCGGGACTGTAGGCTCTTCCTCGTCGCTATCAAGAATGATGCACTCGACATCGGCACCATCGGATCCCGATACTAGTTCTCTTGATTCATTTGGAACGACTGAATTTTTTACAACATTATTGAGACCAATTATACAGTCAACATCAGCATCATAGAGCCTAGGCTCCTTCTTAATGAAATCCTCGGTGTCGATATCAATGCACTCTATATAGGTTTCATCGGATGTCGGGATTGGCGGCACCTCCAATTCCTCGTCCATCTCGTAAACGACCCTATTTTCGTTTTCGTCCTCGTCGGTTAGACGCAGCATGGAAACTTTTTTATCGACATACCCGACCTCTTGCTCTTGGTTGATTTCAAGCATCGGTCTATCTTCGATTGTGTTAAAGACCGTAGAAAATTCTTTTGGTGACATCGAATCGCTACTTTCGCATTGTTTCCAGTAGCCGTTTGCTCGGTCGTCACCCGCGGACACTTGTATATTTGTTTCAACTATGTGAGCTTCTTCGGGAGTCATGAGCAAATCATCATCGTTAGTGTCTAGGAGTTCAGCTAACTGATTCTTCACCTCTACGACAGCACGTTGCACATTACACTCGTGCGGAATTATCTCGATATAGCTGCGTTTTATCGCCCTGCTCTCCCACTCGCTAACATCGATCACTAAAATAGCACAAGTCTCTTCTTCTTGTAATACTCTATCGTTTTCTACTAGCGTAGGAACCCAATTTAACGCGTACTTCCAGTTTTTTGATCTCGAGTTTAACTTTCGACAAGCTTCCAAACCCCTTGGATCGCGAGCATTTGGAATCCTAGACGGCTTAATGTATTGTGATCTTGTGGGCGGCACAATAACGCGACGAAGTCTATACGGTTCGATAGACATCGTGAACAAAGGTTGATCTTCGCGCGAGCACTTGATTTCTTCGTATTTTTTATAACTGCGCGAACGACGAGGATCATTTTCACGTGGAAACTCGCGTAACGGAAGAATTGTGGCTCGCGAGGAAAAACAATCAACGTTCGAAATCCTGTGCAGATCACGTGCGTAGTCGCTATAGCGGTTCATATTTCTTTTTTTTTCTCTCGTGCTACGTACTACCAGTGACCGAGGATCTTGCACTCACGATCCTTCAACTCTTCTTTAGTTTCATACATGTTTGTAAATAACCTCGCTCACAATACGTCAAGAAAAAGATTGTACATTCTTCATCGAAACTGTAAATTGAATATTATTCCTTTTCCTTTCACTATAGTTTGAAAAATAACTCAAAACACTCAAAAATAAATCTCTCAGTAAAACACACACACATACATTCATGCACAAGCGTACCGTTCAAACGCACTCGCAACAGCTCGCAAACAACTGAATAACAGCGCTTATAGTGCTGCAACTGCCGGCTTGTCGCCGAACTGAACCGAGCGTTGGTGAGAGCAGAACTAAATGCTCACCGCTCTGGCCGCCGAAAAGGAACTGCCAAGAGGGAAAGAATGAGATAAAGCAGCTGTTGAAGAAGGCAAAGACGGCACATTGAATATGTATGTTCATAGTACGGAAGGGTAATCCTACCGTCAATGTACTTCACTTGAAATCGATTAAAAAATCGATTTTTATTTAAATCATTATTGTTGTACATATACAATTTCTGGCTAAAATATAATTCATCACTAACTTTTTTATTCGTGTAATATTAATTTTTATGATAGTTGTAATTTTTAAATAAAAAAATTAAATATTTCATGTGAAATAGCATTATAATTTACAATAATAAAAATATAGTACTCAATTATACTCTATTTAATGAAGTTTCTTTTATTTGATAAAAAAATCAATCAATTTATTGTTCAATAGCATAAAAAGCATAGTTTCTGGCGGTGGTTCAAAGACCGTTCACTTTTTTTTTATATATTATCGCGCATATTTCGGGAACGGTTAAACTGATTTTAATGGAAGTTGAGCTTATTAGAAACGGTATATTAGCAAAATAGTTCCATTTCATTAATGGTTAGATTAAAGCATAACTTCGCGAATAATTGTAAAACTCAAGATGTTCATATCGGCCATTTTTTGGAAATATAACTTGTTTTGTAATGTACTTGTTAAGATTAGTGTGCACAAAATAAATAATGAATGTTTATCAAAATGAACTTGGATTTGCATGAGGTGTATTTATCTCGTGATAGTAATATAATGTCAACAACAAAGCGATAAACTTTCAAAGGCAATCAAAATAAACATTTCAAGAATGCCATCATAACGCTTTTATATAACATGCTTAAAATCTTGTGTTACACACGTCGTATTGAAAAATAAAGTTAGTTACATGGGTGAAACATTTATTTTAGCTTCGTGTGACTTCTCTCGGACGCAAAAGCACGCGAGGCTGAAATTATTTTCTTTAATAATAATAATAATAATAATAAAAATAATAATAATAGTAGTAGTAGTAGTAGTATTTGTATATTACTATTATATAACACTTTGTATATTACTGTACACTTTGTTAGTTTTTTTTTATTTGCTAACACAAATGCGGAAACCGCAATTGATTTATCATATTGTTATTGATGTGTGGAATCGATGCCGCAATGGTTAACCACTGCATATTTTTGACAATGTTATTTAGTTTTTGTTATCTTTATATATTATTTCAATTTGCTCATAAGGAAAAATTGATAAAATTGTTAAGAATACTTGAAAATAATTATTTTATTATCATCGAAAATTTTGTATTCAGAATTTGATCGCGTAACTTTTCGAATCAAATTTTTCACTATTCTTACATATTAAATATTATATACATTTATAAAATGCCTATTAATACAAAAGTTGTAACAAACTTACTCTTATGTCATTTAATCGGAGCAATGATAAAGAACCAAAGTTTCCAATCAGCGATGAAGAGATATTGGAAAAAATAATAAGACAACATGCAGAAAATTCTTGTTATACACTCAAATGCAGAATAAGTATATAAATTACCAACCCCGTTTTTACCTCCTAAATTACCGCATGAGCGGCTAAAAAAGAAACGTGTCCAAGATTTTTTGATACTGTACATGTATGCAAAGTTTGCAAAGTTTAAATAAAATTGGCGATGGACAACTCTCTGCCTTTCCTTGTCAGTGATAAGACAGGTAACACGGAAGGGTCGCAGAGAAGACTTGACCTACTTGGACGACAATTTTATCAGGAGTTAGTCAGAAGTCGACTGAAGAGATTCGATTGAGTATGCATGACTCGTTTTTGTTGTTTCGAATGCATATTGACTATTTTCATGCTTTAGATTATTTGTTCTATATTGAGTTTAATTTGTAATAACGCAATTTATTATCAGCTCACTTTGCGACAAGTGTATTTTATAATAAATTTTCTTTTATAGTCCCTTCGGAACATTACGCACTTTACATCCAGATTATAGTAATTGTAAGTACTGAATAATAGTAGATTATGAATTTAATCCAGGAAAGTATCAGTAAGGCCATAAAACGTGAAATTTGACAACCGTGAGAATTGAGGCATCGCTGCAATATTTTTTTTCACATGTTTATAGGCTTTTCAATTTCTCCGGCCGTGGTGAGTATTGACCCAGCGAGGCCAAAATTAGCATGTTACTGATCGGAAAATGCTACTTTCGGGCAGTTGGGCAAAAAATTTGATTATAAATTATGACAATTTCATATTTAAGTCTAAATAAAATCCAGTTTGAATCTTTTTATCATATATCGCGGATGAATTTCTTAAACGATGAATCGTACCGATTCTTACTTTCTTAAAATAAATAAATAGAAACCAAAACATACTTACATGTCATTTTTCTCAAGTATCACTCTTGGCTTCATGAGAATTTGAGCAACACATTTTTTCATGACGCTCTTATCCAAACCCATCGTTTTAAGACTAATTTTGATCTACAAAAAATTATAAGAAATAGTTTAAGTAAAAAGTATAAGAAAAAAATTAATGTAAAAGAGAACTTTTTACAATTATTTACAGCAAATCTCAAAAATATTTTATATAGCAAATTTCAAAGGCAAATTCTTTAATAAGGAAAAAAAAAGTTGGCATTTGGCTCCTTGCGAAAAAAGATTTTGTTAAAACCTTTTCGATTAAATTAACAATGTAAATGTTAAAAATATAATTTTTAATAAGAGCTGAATTTGTGATTTCCCGGCATAACAATTCAAATCAATTTTTGTAATGTTGACTTATTAGATTTTAATACAGGAATCAAATATGTAAGATCGGTACGTCACTTCCAAAGACTATATTAAAACGGTGATAATCATTGGCAATTTTAGTTCGATATTAATTTTAAGATTGATTTGCCGATCTTATAAATGTTTTCGATACTCCGTGCGCATTATTCTAATATCAAATACATGTAAGTAAAATTCAAGAAAAGATTACGTTTCAATGAAATATTAAGTTTGTGCTAATAATTTTAAGCATAACTTTAACAGATACTTATTATTAATTTCAAGCAGATAAAGAAAATAAATCACATCTGAATGAATTTGAATAGACATTTAAAAAATGATTGAATGCAAAAATAACGATGAAGTAATCTGTGCAATACAAAGACAAGTGAAATAAGAAGAATCTGTTCGTAACGCGTTAGAATTTTTAGAGCAAGTAAATTGTTACTTTTAATAATTTACATAGTTCTTAAAAGTATGCTAAATTTCATCTCAAAGGGGTTCTTACATAGATACACGTACGAGAGCTCTGTTTTATTATACTTTAAACAAAAAAAAAATTGAGTTTTTCAGGCAACCTTTTTTATGAGGGTGCCATAAATCGTCGGATTTTGTAATGACAACAAGCGTCGTAAACCATCGAGCGGCATATGTTGCACATATGTATTTGGGTCAGCATTCATACTGGCGATGAGTTGTTCAATTTTTATAAAGATAAAAATTTTACCGGTTTCGAGCAGAACGTGACATTTAAAATTTATAGCAGGGCTTTCTATTCTCATTTACAAGTTTCAACTTATTCGTCGAGAAAGAAATAAGACCCATAGCAGATTAAACTAACGTTTTTGAAACTTGAGATTTAACTGAGAAAATGAAATAATAAACGGTTTAAAATAAATACAACGTAAATAGAAACGTTCAATTTTATGTTACAAATTAAATAAATAAGTATCCTTTTTTCAATAGACGCCTGATCAAATTGCCCACGAGCTATCAAATATTTATACGAGTTTTAATTATATTACGTAGAACGTAAAAATTTTGAAAACAAAATATTGTGCATTTACAATTTCTCGTTGAAATCTATGTAAACTTTCAATAATATATTTTATACAATAATATTAGGTTGAATTGATTTTGAATTAATTTTCCGAATGTCAAACAGTTGCTTCTGTTCGATGATTTGTTTGAAATGGCCGTCGCTTTGTCACAAAACCCTTTTTCACAGTAATATTATGATAAAACCAAAATTTCATAAAATATTTCTCGCTCTAGCATTTAACTCTTACATACTTATTATAATGGTTACTTTATTGAAGAATATAATAAATTAGTATCTAAGAAAAATGTATAGATAAAAAAAACCTTAAATTATTGATCAAGTTATTGAAAAAAAGAGGTATTTACAAAACCGGATAACACATAATTTTTTCTAGTTGAAACCTGAAAATAGCACCTTTGCGCTTGTTTTTTACTGTAACTCTTATGAAGGAAAAATACTGTTCTTAATGATTCGAAAAGGTTTCTTATTAAATTAAATCTTGTTGGCCGATTTTTTAAAATATTTTTAAACTTCTTTTCTTAAAATTGTTAGAAAAAAAAATCACGTGAAAAAATAAATAAAATAACATTTCGATAATAGTACAAGAACATTTGGATGTGTACGCCTGAGACAAGTGAGAGTGAAGAAGCTACATAAAGCAGACATCATTTTCTCGCACATGTATATAACGTTATTTTTTGACAAGACGTGCGCGAGATGAGGTTCGAAACACACATGTGTGCGTTCTTGAGCGTGCGAAGTCACGAAAATTTTCATGCCTCAAATAATCATAAAATATTTCAAATCTATGCCCTCATGATTTAAAAAAATACATGAAATGCATAAAAGAAATAAACTAGAAATATAAAAAAGAAATGAAGCCACAGGTTATACCTTTTTTTTCAGAATTTTTATCCTAATTCTGTTTATACGCCTTTCTGTTTTGGCACGGAACATACAATAAACACATACGTAGCGGCAGTTCTTGAAGATAGGGTACTTCTTAGGATCTGTAAACTTGCCTTCCAAGCGCAAAACTTTGAGACGGCAATTGTGGTTAGAATTTTGAAAAGGATTATCACAATAAACATGAGTATTTTGATACTCCTGCTGACACTAATCACAAGCATCATAGCGCTCTATATACTCGCTAAAGTTGATAGCACGAGCAG